GAATGTAATAAGTATGTATTCTTTAGTGTAAAATGGAAATTGGAATCGTGATTTCATTATCTTAGAATAAGACGTTTATATCTACATAGGGACCGGGTCCTCATCTACAGAAATCGCCATGTTGCACTGCCATGTTTCTATAGTAGCCCAAAACAGACAAACCAAACACTAGCTCTAAATAGGGACATTTAAGTTTTCACGTAGGCCACTGTAATTCGTGGCATGGCTCCTCCACGAGGAGAGTGTCAGAAACATTGATTTTTTTTAATGTGAAACTGCTTTATTCAGTGTTTTTAATGGTTCAAAATCATCAGGTCTGATTATTTTGGAGGGGAAGAGACCTCTTCAGATAATTCGACTTATGGTACAGACCTCCTGAATGTCAGGATCAAAAAATATGGTGAGCACGCATAAAGTTATCTGAGAAAAAAGGTGAGCACACATAAGCAGGTGCAGGGCTAGCAGCCCATCTGCGACATGCCAAACAGTGTAGGAGAAACACTGATCCGTAAAATTAAACTGCTTTATTCAGTCTTTTTTATCAGTTTTAGTCACCTGGTCTGTTTGTTTTGGAGAGGAGGAGGCCTCTGAAGATAAAAACCTCCTGAACAATGAACACTGAAGGAATTCTAACCTGGAGAAGTACCTCTAAGCTCTGTACCTGTTCTGAAACTGTGTTAATGCTTCTTCTCAAATGCAGTTTGTTGTATAAAAAGAATAAAGTTCCACCATAACCTTATTACTCAAAGGCATTATGTTGTCCACATATCAGTGAAAAACGTATGTCTACACTCCCCTCACAGCTCCATTCGGATGCGACCGAGGAGGAGTAATGCTTCTCTAATAATGCGACGGCTGGAGGAGGTGTCCTTACAACCTGTGCTCCCACCTGTACCCCCACCCCCTATGGAGGAAATAGACCCCCCAGGACTGCCTTCCTATGAGCAGGCAATCGCAAAGAGTGGACCACATGATGCGCCGCCTCCTCCCTATCCTGGGTATTTGCATATGCATTCATATTTTCAGTTATGTCATAACTCACTGTTCAGGTTTTTCTCGTACACAATCCATGTTGTGGTCACAGAAAGAACATTCAAACATATTTGTGTAATATCTCTTATTTTTGCTTTTAGCTCACAACCTGGAACTATTCGGCGGTAGTATCTTCGGGACAACATCTCCGCGTGTGTGTCAGCATCAAGCAGACACTTTAGGTTGTGCTGCTCTGCTTAGCATTGTATACCAAGTTTTCATCATCACAAGATTCAAAACACTTCTTTATGCCTGTTTTTTTATTTCCCTGATCATCTTTCTCCACTAATGCATCTCTAACCTTTCTGGTCTGTTGGTTTACATTTTCCCTAACAGTGTAATCCCCCTTCTAATGTGCCTCTACTACTGTATCTGTTCTCCCAGGTGTGATTATGCTCTGTAATATAACCTCAACCCTGTGCTGAATAAGCTTTTACACAGTTTGCTGCTTTTTGTATAATGAAAATGAAGAATCAATAATGTGTTTGGACCTGAGAGATTTAAGTTGCTGGAGTACTTAGGCCCTTAAGGAGCGACTGCTTTAGGCACAGCATGCGTAGAAGGAGTGAGAGCGAGATTATGATTATGTTTCATTACACGATAAGTATTACTCGTAATTGAAGAGAGACAGACTGATTGTGTTGTCGTGCACCTCCCTGTCTCCCTCAGAAGGAAAAATAGTAACAGCCAAACTGATTTCAGTGGTGTGATGGTATTATACATCGCCATACAGAAAATCCTTTTATAATAAGGATAATACAAGTGTTCTTGGTGTACTGGCCTACCAGCTTGCTTTGTTAAGATTCACTTTGTACTTTCATATCATCATCTTTTACCTCTTTAAATGTGCTCTTATAATAAGTGAAGTCATGTTTACGTTCAATATATTATGGTTAATTTTTAAATGTACTAGAAATGAAAAGGCAGATTTACCATATTTTATTTTTACACAGCAGAATATTTTACAATTCTACAATAAGAATTATAGCTATGATTGATGTGATGGCTAAAACATATTTCAGCAGTTGGGATGTGGCACAGCATTAACAGGCAACTGTGCCTTATGCAAGCCTGTAGGATGCTGGTGTCTCATCATCATCAGCTGATACAGTAAAACAAGGGTAAAGAAGTTATTATGTCCCTGAAAATTACCTTTTATAGAGTTTCATCATGACATTATGAGAACATGTTGAGGGCCTGCTGTGTTGACGCTGATCTGAAATATAACTACTTGAAAATCTTTTATAGATGTTTTAATAAAAGAGATATTTTAATTACTATTGTCTCATCTTTCAACTGTGTGTGATGTTGTGTGCATGTGTGCAAGGTGACTGTACTGACTCTCACTTTCACAATCATATCATGTCCTCCTGAGACCCTGTGTCCTCATATGAGGACATTATATGTTGGGTTTACTGGACCTCATACGTCATTCTGCTTAACTTAAACCTCACGTCCTTAGCATTTTTTTTGTGCCATGTAGTGGTAGTAAGACCACTATACACTAATCCATGTAAAAACAAGATGGCAGCCATCTCTGCCAAGTCAGTCTGCAGCCGTTCCAGACACAAAAGTGGACAAGGTAAAGTGCCTGATCAAATTCAATGGTTGAAACTTGTTTATCTATGATTAATAACATTTCTAGTTTGATATGCCATACAAATTTGACCAATTTTAGCAAAAGTAACAAGATGCTGCTATTCAGGAAGTACTCATTTGCAGACACTGGGAATTTTTCATCAGCTTGTTAAAGTACATTGAGACTTTATTATCTCCTGTGAGGACATTTTTTTTTATTATTGTTGACAATGTTTAGTTTTTTTATACTTATCAGGTCCTACTAATCTCAGATAGCAAGAACACAAACTTGAACATTGCAGTTAATGACATCAACTGTATAAATATTTTAGACTCAACTGCTATCATCGTGTAGTGTCACTGTCTATCAGATTGGAACACATTTATTGTACTGTATGTCAATTTGTTCAGAGGCTAAAAACTACATGAACTGGCTGCATGCTGTCAAGTTGTGGGAGAACAAATCAAGCCAAAGTAATTTTCAAATACCTTAAACAACTGGAAAGCAACTGTGTTCTCAGCTAAAGACACATCAAAAGCACAGAGATTATTGTCCAACAACAAAACGAAGTCCTCCCTTACATTTTAGACATTTTAAAGATTACAAAATGCAAACAACAACAACAATAATTATAAATTATATGTAATTTTAAAAGGAGGTTTCTCTGTTTTCCAAAGAGGGTTTCCATATTGTTATATTCATGTCATGTTTCACTGATTATACCTTGTATCAAACTCAAACACATAGTTCACATGGAACACACCAGTACGATCAAGTATTAATAGGAGTTGAAATAATTCATGCAACTGCAGAAGACCACTGCATTCATCACAATACATAAATCAACATTCTCCATATATTGTAGGAAAGGACCCCAAATGACTCCAAAGAGTGATTGTTTATCTTTCATGATGTATGACATCTTTTCCAGAGGTAGAGTTATGGAGAACTCTTTAATCCAGTTAATGAACTTTGGTTTACTGCTCTTTTCCCAAGACAGTGAGATAAGTCCTTTTGCAAGCTTTGGACAGAGATTAAAGACAGCAATATCTTTCTTGGATGTAAGATGTTTGTCAGGGTGTAAACCAAGAATGAAAAACTTTGGGTCCTGTGTTAATTGTATGCTTAATATATTCTCCAGAGCTTGTTTAATCTCCTGCCAGAACTCTTTGACACAGTGAAAAAGGTCCATTTCTCCTGTCCACACCAAACACACACAGGTCTGGGACAGTGTTATTAGACTTGTTTAATTTTTCTGATGTCACATAGGTCTTCTTTAACCAGTCATGTTGCAGCAGTATGAGCCGAGTATTAACAGTTTGTGTTTATGCTTCAGCACTTGCTGCTTCCCAGTCCTCTGAAGGGAAATCCTCTTTTAGGTCTTCTCTCCAGGCATTCAATTTTAATACAGAAGACGCAGAGGCTTATATAATTTGGAGATAATACCCTTGCCTGAACAATCATTTTGTACTTCTGTTTCCAAGCCAATGTACTGTTTGGCATCCTTTGTGAATATGAAGAAGTTTTGCCTTTTTATCAGTAAATATATTGTATTGATATGAAATTTTGCCATTATAAATTAACCAAGCAAGCTTATTCATTCATTCTTAGTTGTAATATACTGCAGCGTTTGTTCTAAAATCTAATAAAAAGAAAAGATTTAGCCTAGTTACAATCAAGTATGCCATATGGTACATGTTTCCAAATGACATAATGGTTGTCAATATGGCTGCTGATAAAAGCACAAAAGTTACTGAAAAATAAAAAAAAAAATCTCATAAAAGGGAGTTACAATAAAACTGAACAATTATTTTACAGTTTCTAATTAGGCTACAGAGACATCCACAACAGAGAATCTCAAATGTCTTCTAATTTATTATTAATATTTAATTCATTTAGAATAAATTTGATATTGTTATAACAATTTAAACATATTATCCAAGCACAGTCTGGGTATAATAAATGATTTCATAGGGATTTGGGGCTCTGTGATAGTGTAGAAATAAAGTTTGGGTATTTCAAATGATGTTTTTTAATAAATACGCAGATTGGAGATGAAGATGAACTTTTGCGTGGAATGAAGGAAAACTACAAAACTTCCAGCCAAAGTCTGCGGTGCATCCTGGGAAATCCACCAACATGGGTACGTGAAACCATGCAGGGCTTGCACTCTCTCCATGACGGGGGATGAACAAAAATCAGCGAGACCACTCTGAGGGCTGAAGCTTCACTTTTATCGAGGATATATCTCGGTTTTTAGGACTGTGCGGTGCTCTGTTGGGACTGCCTACCCTGGTCCGTCGGTCGGTCGGTGGGTTGGACCCCGGGCTGCTACGATGTGTGTACGCTGCTCTACGAAGCTCCGCCGGGGAAGTGAATCTCTCACCGGATGATGGACAGAAACTACCCGACCTCCAGCTTCGCGGACGCGCTGGCCCCACCAGCACAGACCGTAGCTTCTTGGGCCTATGACCGCAGCACCGCTAGTGTCAAACCAAGGTAAAAGATGAAGGAGAGGGCACCTTACGAAGGAAATTTCGGTGATGGAGGGGCCTAGCTTTGCGTGTGGAGAAAAGTGCAGAGGTCCTTGTTATCGGGAACACTGGAGGGGTTTCACAGATATCGGAATTTGATCGGAGTTGTTGGGGCTTTGACTTGTCAGTGGTTCATTAGCCGTTTGTTACTGTCTCCCACCTTGCTAGTTTTCGCTAGCACACCGCCTCCCCAGCATGGTGTAGAGTTGGTGTTAAGTAGAGAGGCGAATTATTATATATCTCTAATAAGTTTAATCAGCTAGACAGCTCTAACTAGCATTTTATCGGCCTGTTTTATACACCCACAGGTGCTCGCCAAAGCCCAAACATGATAGGTAGCTACCGATGCTAGTCATGTCAGTTATGGCACCTCAAATTAGTAGTGCATAGCTATTGGTGTTGTTACCTAAGAGCTAAGAGGCGACGTGTCGAAGTCTGTACATATTCATATCATTATTATTATCGTCACATTGCTGTCATGGACATTATGTTAACTAATACAACTTAACTTCCATTAGTAAAAACAGAGTTGATATAACAGCAAACATGCCAAAGCTGTAAAACTCTAACTTTGTTAAACTCAAGTTGTTGTATTATGCTCTACTCCATATTGCAATTATAAAAATGCCTTATGCTTAATGACAAAATAGTAGTATGTGCTTAAAATAAATCAGATTGTGCTCACAAGCAGCACAAATAAATCACTTCAGTTGTTTCACATGAAACCCTCCTAAAGAATAACTAGAAAGGCAGGAGCAGATTAATATGATCCTTTTTATTAGGCTATATAAATTATTACTTAATCAATTGATGAATGAGAAATCAATGTTTATGGTCCTCTCGCCATTACAGATGAGTTATGAGAAGAAACAGTTGTGTTTCATTAAGACAATATGAATATGAATATCAATTGACATACATAGTGGCCACTTTATTAGGTACACCTTTAAAATCTAATGCAGTTTAGCACAACAGCTCAGCCATATATTCCACCTTTACAACTATAATAATGTGATGTTATTGCGTGGTGTTATGTATTATAATACTGTATATCGAGAGGTTGAGAGGCGTGACAATTGCTGTGCCCACCCCATTCAAACTTTTTGGGAAGGGGTGGTGCAGCATTAGAGACACACATTAAAGTGGAAACAGACAACATTTAATTCCTCCCATCCCACTTGTGTTTGGAAGTGTTGTTATTGTCGCTGTTGAAAAGACATACTGATTGTTTTCCTTTTTCCCCAGAGCCAAGCAACTACCAACAACAGAGGACACACTGCATTTTGTTTTCCTCAGTCACTTCCATGTCGGTGTTTCCGCTGCCGGGGATAGTAACTCCATTGATACTCTTTGGTAACTGGGGATAGCTACCGTGGGGAACAAAAATGCTGTCCTCTTTTTGGTGGCACAATATATAGTTTTTGATTATTTTTTCATGTCATTGCAGTGTCAGCTTGCGCAATAAACATCACAAAAGACTGCAATATTGCACTCAGGGTTTATTTTAGTTGGTTGATATAAAGTATGACTAGAAAACTGAACTGAACTGCATTTTGTGTTGACTTCAATGTTCAGTTTGTTCAGTAAAAGAATTAAGAATTAATTTTTTTTTTAAATCCACAGGCAGTTTGTTTTATTTTAGTAATTATACTAAAAGCAGCAGAAAGGCAGAACTGAGTAAACTTAAATATCTTTTTTTTTTAATCACAAGTAATATCTTTACTGTCTTGATGTTGCGCTATTCAACAACGTAAGCAGATATCACATATTTTCCTTACACTGTGCAGCCCTAATCTTCCGGTTTTGATTGTGCAATGGTTAACGCACTTCCTTTGTGTTGTAAATAGGACCTTAATTTTCCCAGAGGATCGTACCCAAGGGCAGATAGAATTGTGTAGTGAAAGTGAGGCTCACAGGAAGTCGATCTAAATGCGGATGGTGTTATTATTTTATAGCCATTACACTATTCAATCAACATGATAAATAAAAGCAAAAATCTTGTCTATTTCCACTTTAATATAATGCAGTCCAGTATAACACCACCACTACAACCTCAGTTAGAAAACATACTGTTTTAATTAACACATTTCTGCCATTGTCAACAACAAACAAACATCACAGTCGTCAGAAATGTAAATATGTGGCAGATCTGTTCAGAAAAAGAGGCTGATGACTCTGTTTCAGGGCTGTGTTCTTCCACAGATGTTTACCTTCTGGCAAAAAGGGAACACTTCAGATCAGGATGGCTGCGTCTGATTACCTCCGATTTTATTTTAGTTTCCTACGAGTTTTCCCTGGAGAGAATATGATGTAATGCATCAGATATTAAACTTTTTTTCCCTAATTGGCTCAGGTAAACATTATCAGAGTTCCTCACACACTAAGTAGAGCAATTACCTTTTATTTTTGGACATCAGCAACAGTTACTGGTGAATTCTACAATCCACAAACCATTTTAAAGCTCAAACAGCCATTTAGATTTTTATAAGTAAGAACTATGAACTTCTAATGTAACTAAACTCCTATGAACTAATATGCCATAGCCTGTTAGGCTGCTAGTTATTTCCATTCAGAGTAATATTGCCAAAATGTTTGTAGATTTTTTTCTGTTTTTTTGCTGACATTGAGGGGCAAAGAGGTCCTTTTTTCCCCACACAAATCATTGTCTTGTTTTTGTAAGTGTTGCTCATAATAATAGCCTTAAAGATGTGCTGTGTTTTGTATGAATAACTTGACTGACCTTCTGTGACGGACTTAAGTAGCGTGTATTAAGCATATTTTCTCAAAGCATGCTTCATTAAGTTATCAGGGCTTGCTTTCTGCAAGTAGGCCTTTGTCTGTCGGTGGACAGCAAAGACTTTACAGAATCAGTACTTGAAAACAAACACGCTGTGTGTTGAGAGAAGTCATTTACCGAGTTGGGTGTGTCACCGCTGCTTGTGAAGATGAGAACTTTCATGTATGTGTTTGTGTGTCGATGCAGTTCCAGTTATGGTGCAGCACACCTTGATGCAGAGCTCCTCCAGAGGCAAAGCTACACTTCCACCCACCAGCTTCCCACCTACACTACATCACACCTTCCTGCTGCAGCAGGTGAGTTATGAATGCTATTCACAGTGTTCTTAAAGGTTCAGTTCACCCAAATTACAATGACCTTTCTTCCTTGGTGGCATCTAGTCATGGCTGTATCTTTGCTATATATGCATTGCTTATTTGAAATATGACCTTGTGACTTGTGCCACTAATCAAAATAGTGGATGTAAATGAAATTTCCTTTGTGATACTCAAAACACTGAAAAACTACATTTTTAAAAACTCAGCACTTGGGGATATAACAATTTGCGTTATTGTATTGAACAATCAAGTACAAGGCTTTCAGTTCAGTACGCATTACTAACTGAATGATTCGTTGAACTATTCTTGTATATTTGCAAAATTAAATATACAGCTTAAATTGTGTTAAATTTAATTCTTAATGGCACTGTGCTCAACAAGGCAGCCCACTCGACTTAACATACAACGTGCTGTCTGACCCTCCCACCCCAAACCAAAACATTCTCTTCCAGTGAGACAGACTAAGAGGCACGTTACGCTAAGCTAGCTCATTGCAGTATGGTTACTAGAGCCCATAACGCCATTACCAGACCAGAGATAGAAAATCCTTGAATAACTTTCAGAGTTCGTGCTTGGAGGGTCTTCAGTACGCTGCGAATTATGACAGCGATGGTGTGCGAGTGGTGGATAAAAAACACAACAGTATGTCACATCTGCTACGTGACAGTAGGATACATCAGTGGGAATACTTAAGACATGTCAACTCATTTATGTCAACATCATCCCAGTGTGTCAATAGGTGGAACTAGAAGAAAACAAGGAGAAACAAAAGACAGACAGAGCAAAAGAAATCACTGCAGCGATTGTTACATTTTATAGCTGCGGATATGAGACTCTACTCTGTAGTAAAAGACGTAGGCTTTACGAACATGCTTCATATAATTAAGCCCTGTAACAATATTCCTTCACAAACCCATTTCAGCCAGACGGTAATTCCTGCTTTGGACACATAAAAGAAAAATCTCAAATTATGAATTAATATAACATAAAATTAAAAAAATATATATTAAAATAAAAGGAAGTTTTTCTGGCATTTCTATTTTGCTGTATCCAAGACATACCGTACCATGACACCCAAGTCGTATCGAACCGAACCATGAACTTTGTGAACTGTTGCACCTCTACTCAGCGCTATTGTGTCTGGATAATACACAAGCCGTGCTGTGGACAGTTTTAATTGGGGTCATTTCTTCAGCATAAACTAGTTCCATTACAAATCTAATTTTTATATTGTTTTATACCAGTACATCGGCCTGGCCAATTTATCGTTCAGGCTCTTGTAGATATCACTATCACTTTGCACACAGGATTATGTTTTCTTCGTTACCTGTGGTCATCATTCTTTTTCTCTCTTGATCATTAGGAGCGCTCGACTCGAGCAGTAATACTTCTGAGACCTCAATCATGAGCTTCCTGTCAGCCATGGAATCTAGAAGCCTTCAGGCTGGTCCTGTTAGTGCCTCACTGCTTCCTCCTTTCAGACCCCCATCATGGCCTGCTGGTGAGAACAGAACACTATTATACTGTACTAGACCAAGTCATTTTACATTTACTCCTTATAGAGAACAGACGACACAGTTTATATATAACTTCTGAAATTATCTATGGTGCTCACTGGCAAATAAAGGATTTCTGCATCATATTATCTCATGAAAGACTAATGTGAAATTAACTCCTGAAGGTAAGAGGTATAGCTTAGCAGTGGGCGATATATCAAACATATCTGATACACTCAAATGTCATTACATATGTGATACAGCAGACAACCATATTGAGACATTAGGATATTCCTTGCACATTTTTGTAAACATGCATTTAAAGCAGGCCCTATTTATGTACAGTTGACTCCCCCTTCCTCTCTCTCTCTCTCTCTCTCACACACACACACACACACACACACACACCAAAATGATCAACCACGCCCATTACTTTTGGGCAGTCATGACAACAAGTTATTCACCTGGAGCCGGACTTCTTTGCCGGTAAGCCGTTATAATGCGCCACCATATTTGACAGGAATACGTATTCCTGTCTGTGTCTGTGACCCCCGTTCAACCCACAACCGGCGGGATTCGCCGTTACTGTTTATTGCCACACTGCCAACATTTTACTCCATCCGTCACTGCACACTATTTGATTGCGTTATCAAAACACGCCGCTATTATTCGGCCTTGCTTTTCACTTAATCCACCGAATACCGAATGTGTGTTTTTTTTTAAATATTCGGCCGAATATATTCGGTGCATCCCTAATGGAGCCTTCCCCCACTCCCCACTCCCCTCACCGCTGCTCTCCTCACTATACTGGCTGCGGCGCTGTGCAAGTGCACAGATGTCTCAGAGTGGTGGTGCATTTGCAAAAATATTTTGAAGGAGCAGCAGCGGCAGCAATAATTTAGCAGGGGCATGTCGCCGCTGCTAAATGAATGTAGTGGAAACACTGCATTATGGTAAGAGCATGTAAAAACTGATTTCAGAATAAAGTGACCTTCTGGTGAACAAGTCAGTCAGTTTGTCAATAATAAATAAAAATAGGTAAATAAAACAAAATGAGTAAGTATTAAATAATAAAGTGAGTGTCACTCAGACAATATCAGGACAGTCTGATGTTGAATTTCAAAATTAAAGCCCTCTAAAATGTCACATAGGAGCTGTGTTCCCTCTAAATTCAGATAAGTTTACTCGATAATGATCATATGCGTCAAAGGGTTAAATTAAACAGTTATCGTTCATGTCAGTATAGCATAAAAATGTCAAGATATTATGTGTAAGCCATATTTCCCAGCCCTAGTATAACTCTTGAAAGTGCTTAGAGAAGGGGTTGGTGATGTCCGTATTTACATGTTTTTGGTTAAACACAAGTTTTGTCCATTGTGCTACAATTTAATTCATTATGTTTGGATTATATTGAGTCATGTTGCCTGTCCTGTCCTTACATTGTCTGTTCTGTGCTGTGCAGGTACCAACGCCTCCACCACAGAGCTGTATTTGACTGGTGCTCTGCCTTCTACTGCCACTTTCCCCTCTCCTGCTGCTCTGTCGTCCTATCAGCACACTGGTGCCTACCCTTCCAGGAGTTATGCTACCAACCCATCCTTGGCACTCCAGGATCCTGCCTTCAGCACTTCAACCAATGGCCTGTTTTCTCACCATGACCCCCTTCTCCATCTCAAATCAAGCCAGACTGTGCTTCCCACTGCACTGGCCTTCAATCATCTCCCTGCCCCTACTTTGGGCTCGGCTTTGCCTGTCCAGTCCTCTACTTACCGATCAGCCCAGGAGTCAGCCCCCCACCTCCTACAGCCCCAGTTCAGCCTGCTACCATCTGCCCTGCCTGCCCCTCATGGTGCCCCACAACCGTACGGGGCCACAGTATTCTCAGGCTCTATTGAAAGAGCTCTTCAGCGTGAATGTAGTGTGATCAAACACCACCAGAGGCCTTCCAGCAGCCACGCGGCCTCAGAGCAATTGCCCAGTGCAGAGCACTCCTTACAGGGGTACTTTGGCTCTGCCAGTGAAGCTGATGTGTCCTACCAGCAGGACCCTTCCCGTCAGACCCCGGTATCCTGCAGCCCTTCCACAGGAGCAGATTCCTCTCAAGGGGTCAGTCGTGCTCCACAACCCAAAACAGCCTCAGTAACTCAAGCTTATTCGTCCACTTCTGTGCCAAAGGCTAAAGACTCTTCCAAATTAGCTCCACACCCTTCTGGGGGTGAGGAGAGTCACGAGCACTCTCAGAACCTGACAGGAGGGTCTCCTGACCGTTACTCCTCCCCAGGACACAAGCAGAACTCGGTGATTGCTAATCAACAGTCAGTACAGCTATCCAGCCTTATGTCCAGTAGTTTGTCACAAACCTATATCACCACCCACACCCAGTCACAGGCCTCCCATTCCACCTCAGACAAACTTTCCCCCCTTTACAAGACTCTGCCTTCCCTCTCTAGCCAGTCTGACAATGTGGCATCTGTTAGTCAGACTCTTGTTTACTCCTCTAGTCCCGGGCTGAGCCAGCAGCAGGAGATCCAGTATGGAGCCCAGGTCCAGGGCTTGTGTCAGGGGAATCTCTCTGAGAGCTACCCCACCACTCACTCTCAGGGTGCCCCAAACGTGACTTTTACATCTCAGTCACAGGAGCAAGCTTCGGTGACTCAGAGCTACGCCACAGGACAATCCCTTAACCTTAACTCCTCTTACCCGCCCACGTGTGTGCGGAGTCTGCCCACATCAAATTCTTCACAGGACTACACCCTCATGCAGGCCTCAGTGGGAGTTAAAACACATGACACACTGTCTCAGCAGCAGACACAGCCCCATAAATATGTTTTGTCTGCACCGTTGCCTGCCTACTCTTCAACTGCTCAAGCCTTACAAAATAACATCAGATCCTCAATACAAGACATAAAGCCAACATACGGCAAACAGAAACTTGGAGAGCTTCCTATCCAGGACATTGATGCTCTCCAGCAGGCATCGATGGAAGCCTCTGCTGCTAGCAATATGTCTGCTCACAACAATGTCATCTATGTTGTTTCAAAAATGGACGATCATCACAAAACTCAAAGTGTCATCCGAAGCAATTCGCGATCTGATGACCAGCTCATGGGACTAGGTCATACAAACACAGCACAGATGAAGGACGAAAGAATGGGTTCTCTGAGCCAACAGCACATTCATCTAAGCAGTGCCAATGGTCAGGAAACTGTCGACACAAAAACTACAAATTCCAGTATTATATCTTCACATGTACCCCTTAGCTCAGAGCAGGTCAAGCAGCACCCTCTCCAACTCAAGTCTCCTGAGCCACATCATCAAAACCACCAGAATCATACTCAATCCCAGAGCCAGACCCCGGCAGCCCACACCCAATTCATCACCGTTCCCAGCACTCAGGTTCTCCTCGAGCCCAACCAGATGATTTTGCTCCAACAGCCTCTTGTTCACCACAGTCAAAACACATCAAAGGTGGTATCAGTGCAGGGTATCCAACAAACCCAAGATCTGGGCCCTGTTCATGTCCAGTATCTTCAGATGGGCCGAGAACTGCTTTGTCCCAGTGTCACCGAAAACCAGAGACAGCAGGGCACGGTAGTGTCTGAACAGAGCTCAGGATGCCCTGATTCCTCCAAACACCACTACAGCCAGTCAGCAAATCAGCAGCCAAATGATGCCAAGAACCACTTTGCTCTCAACTCCATTTGCTTCCCAGACTCTATGCTACTTGCAGATGACAGAAATATTTTGTCAAATGTCGATGACATCCTGGCTGCCACGGTGGCAGCCTGTGGCGTCACACCACAAGACTTTGTCAAAGCTACATCCTCTGCTGAGGCTGAAATGGCAGTTATGGCAAGCCCTGTTGATTCTAAAGGTCACTTCCAGACTGTGGATATAAGGCACATGTCACCTAATTTCTCCTCAGCACAACAGCCAATCATGACCAACACTAATACCCACAACATGACCATGACGCTAAATGGAGCTCAGATGGCTGCAGACTGTCAGCCTGTTCACAACAACAGTTCTGAGCTTGACACAAATGGAGATGGAGGGAGCTCTGAGAACGACTATCACTTAGCCGGACATGTTTATGACCCCACAGGTCTCCACAGCAGAATCAAAGGGAATTCAAAGTGCATTAAAACAGAGGATGGCTCCATGGAATCCCCAGGCGGTGAAGACTTTTCCAAAAAGAAGGTTCGCTCTAAGTCCTTAACCAAACCAGGTGGTCCAGAGGAGGATAATGGACAAGCCAGGCAGGCCAAGCGCAGTGGGCAGGCCAAGCGGCAAAACTCCAGGGGCAGTGATGTCAGCTCGCCGTCCGCCTCACAGGGTGTATATGATGGTTGTCCGCAGCAGGAGAGAATCAGACAGAAGATCCGTGAAGTGGAAGAGAAGCAGCCAGAGGTCAAAACGGGCTTCATTGGCTCCTTCCTCGACTTTATCAAATCTGGCCCCAAACAGCAATACTCTCCAAGTCCTACACGAACTATCAGTCGCCCAAGAAAGCCCTGCACCACGTCGAAACCACTGCCATGTACTTTGCCTTCTTTGCCTCCCAAACTGCAGACTCTGCCTGGGCCTTTGATTCCCCAGGAGAACCAAGGAGTGAGCTCCCAACAGAAACGTCTGGATGAGGATTTGCAAAAGAACTTGGAGACTCTGCCATCATTCAGCTCCGATGAGGAGGAGAACACTGGGAAGAACCAGGCCCTGAGGAACAGCATCAGCTCAGCGCTTTCAGCTCTGGATGAGGCTTCAGATCGGAAATCCAGGACAGGTAATGATTCTCTGCTTAAGCTTGTCAAGAGCTGAAGAGCTGAAAATATTGTGAACAGAACACCAGCCTAAAATCTTTTATATTATTGTTCATCTCTTGCAGAGGTGTCCAAACTTTTTTGAATGTAGGCCAGATGAGATCATGTGAAAATGTGGGGGCCAGCTGTTTCTCACATCATACGGTTTATGAGAAAAAGAAGTCCCATACAAATGAGACAAACTCAACTGTTTCATTTTTTAGTAAAAAGTATTCAACTTTCCAACGCTCCTGAAAACAATGGACCTCACTGTTGACCTTGTGTGTGTGTTTATGAGAACACATAGTTCTACTTGCGTAGTTACTACTTGGTTCATGTGTACAAACTGTGTAATAGTCCTGCTGTTGTTGGGTGAAAGGACAAAATGCAAAGTGAACGTGCTGGATTGACCAGTATAGGTGGCAGGACACATTTAATATATTTTGAAAGACAAGCTGATTTAAATTGGTCCAAGGGCCACCATTGGCCCCCAGGCCAGACTTTGGACATGTCTGATCTAATAATTGTGTTTTTGATTATAATGTATTTTATACCACCTGAAAATGATAACAAATCCACACAGGTTACTTGAGTCCAATCAGTCAGAACCCTCATTTTATATAAAATAAATTTACAATAATATAAAAGAAATTCTAATTTTTTGTGTTGCAATAACTGGTAAAAGTTAGGTATTTTACCTGAAAAATGGTCTGAAACATTTTATCAGAAGTGTGGCTGGCACTGACATTTGTTTCATGTTTCTCCCATTTTCATTGTTCCCTGTTTCATGCAAAAACATCAGCAGTATTCTGTTTCCTGTGCTGTTTTTTAACCTTTATCACAATCAATAATACCCTTACTTGTCAGTTCTTTTGGTAATATGCTGTGATAAGCATTGTCTGTGTTTTTGTCTCTTGGAGAATGCTGTCTGAAATCTCTTCATGTATTGTTCATATAAGGAGTCTAGTTGAGGTGTCATTTTCATGTTTCTTTCTGAAAATGTTTTTCTTAAACACATCCATACTGTTTATTTGCAACCCTTCTCCAGATAACCAAATCCCCAGTGTGATGATGAAGCCAGACCAGGTTACCACCATGCCTCACACTGTCACCGAGACCTGTTTGTCGCGAGTAACTCCTCCTACACAGACAACAAACACCCCCTCACTAGGGCCCGTGTTTGTGGACAAAGAGGAGTCTAAAGAGACCCCACCAGGCCAGCTGGCTGTGCAGTTGCCGAGTGTGGCCATTGAGGGACTGACTGACGAGGAGCTGTCGGATAGTGGAGGGGAGGGAATGTACCGTGAGAGAGACGAGTTTGTCGTCAGGAATGAGGACATCGAAAGCTTAAAGGTACAGCTTTGAAAAATGGGGATGGAAAATGAATCCTGGTGGACGCGGGATTTGGTGTTGAGCTAAATTTAGGGTTGTCATATCAGATCTTGTGTAAACTGGTAGTTGAATATTAATTGTTAGATTTTCTTAAACTGTAACTGTTACTACATACTGATGTATTTTGCATATGTCCAGGTGACAATGAGATCAGGCAGTGAGCCTCCAGCCATCTGGAAAGTCCAGAAGGCTCTGCTGCAGAAATTCGTGCCTGAGTTGAGGGATGGGAAAAGAGTCTTCTCAGCCACTAACAGTGTAAGGAAATGCAGACATGCCAAAACCCATATTTACATGTAGAAGTATTCGATCATTCAGATGTTTTTTTTTTATTCTGCGACAGGTAACATGTTGTTTTTCTTTGTGTGTGTAGTATCTTGGATACTTTGGTGACGCCAAAACCATGTACCAGAGGGTATATGTGAAGTTCTTGGACACAGTAAACAAAAGGGAGTATGTACGAGTTTGTAGTCGGAAGCCACGCTGCAAGCCTATGAACTCGCTAAGGTACGCTTAAAGTGTTGATTGATGTAATTCTTTTTTTTTTTTTCCCCCAAACATGACCAGTGGTGTAACTTTCTTTGTTCTGCCTCCCAGGGGGGTTCAGGTAAAAACTCTGCTGGGCCTGTCAGCTGCCCCTCAGTCCTCAGTCACCCCAAGCCAAAAGCCTCGACCCAAACAACTCAAGCCCAGAGCAGAGCCCCCACCTAAAAAGAGGAGGAAATGGAAAGAGGAGTTTTCACCAACTGCCTCGGGATCATCTGCAGAAGAGGGTGGTGAAGATGATGGTGAAAAGGCGTTTTGACTTTTCTCATTAAATCTAGTTTGGATTTAAGTTGATACGATTGTCGTCTAAATCTCTTACCGCTGTCTCACTGCCTCTTCGTGCTTTTCTGATCTTTGATCTTTCACACACATACTCTTAGAGTTAAACCCCCCAGTGCCATTTGCTTCGCGGTTACTCAACACACGAACCATGAAGGAGACATTCAAGAGCTTTGTGGAACTGCTCATCAGCATTGTTTTGGATGAAGATGTGATGACAGCACTTGAGCGGGAAAAAGGTGAGTGAATTGACTTTCTGGATGTTGAGCCACTGGCTTAAAGAAGCTATACGCAACACTCAGAGAGTATCTGTAATTGAGAGCCTGGGCTGGGATTGTCTGCACGCAGCTCTCAACATGGAGGTTGCTAAGTCGAAAGCTAGCAGCTAACTGTGCTAACAACAGCAAAAGTGCTTACAGAGCTAACAGTGTTAACCTGTGGGAGAAACGGAGAATGAGTGCTGCTTTTCTCGACGCCATGGCCCACCACTGGTAGTCAGGGCAGCGTTATCAGTGGTAACTGCCATATGAGCACAGTGCAGAGCGGCAGCAATACACTAGCGAGTGGGATACACACACAGGGACTCATTAACATGAGTACACCAACATGAATGCTGGCTGGAACATGGACCAAAACAAAGAGAGAAGCTCGGGTTACAACACACATACACAGGGAGCGTGACTGTGTCCTCTGCTCAGAATGCCATTACTCCACTATATCTTTACATAGCAGATAGTGGTTTGCTGCTAAACTGATGCCCTGAATGTGATATAGAGCTCAGTTATAGAAGCTGAAAGAAAAAAATCCAAAAACGGGTCAGGTGAGTCAGGCAGTAGACTTGAGCCATGTTGACTTTTTAATTTGTCTGTCAGATGAGTTGCTGCTGCCACATATGAAAAGAGTGGATGGGATGATCACTGACAACAGGAAACGGCTGCTTCACAAACTGCACATAGGGCAGGTTCTTAAGGTGGGTATGATTTTGTTTTTTGTTTTTTTCCTTTTTGTTTGTTAAATGTCAAACTTACAAACAAACCCTGAATCTATTTTGATAAGAAAAAGAAAAGCAAAGCTACAGAACATTGTCTGCTGTCTGTGAACCCAAGTAACTCCCTTGTCCTGTGTCCTCAGACGGCTCTAGACAGCTTCCCGGAGATCTCAGTGGTGACTGAGCTGAAGAAGGACGGGGAGACCCCTGCCTTTAAGGTGCGTCTCAGTGGGAAGGCCTACAACAAGAAAACCTTGAAACCCTACAAGGTGCCTAACAAAGTGCCACAGGTAAGACAAGATCATATTTTGGCAGAATTCACTCTGCTCTCATTGTACGTCCAGCAGAGGGCACAGTGACACCATTTTGTGTTTCTTACTCATTTCTCTATTGTGTTGAGCACTGAAGTCACTGTTCTTTCCTGTCATGTTTGTTATTGGACCAGATATGAAAAATTTAGTTATAAATGTCCCTGAAAAGTTTTTGCTCTGCCTTTTCTGTTTTTAGGAGTATACAGTGGACCAGCAGAAAACTCAGTGGTTCTCTCTGTACCACTCTTTGCAGCATTACAAGTACCACACGTACCTCATGTGTAAGGACGAGGTGAGACGTTGTTGTATACCTGTATGCTAAGCTTGTGACTTAAATGAAGTGTTCTCTGTGTAGGTGCTGAGTGCTGATTCATTGTAGATTTTACTCTGTGACTAGTAATATTTTGTAGGTTTAAATTCACACCGTTTGTGGTTCTACCCTCCAGATCGCATCTATGCGTGTGCAGACAGGGGATCTGGGGCAGGAGGAGACAGTACAGAAGTGTCTGCAGAACGGAGCTTGGGTAGAGGGGCTCTTCGATCGCTTCGGGGAGCTAATCAATCAAGTGCAGCAGGCCTGCCGATGATCTAGCCCTGACATGCTTGGCTAAAACAACAGCAAAGTCCAACACCTAAAAAATATGAGGATGCCTCCAGCTCAAACTGGCAACACAGAGAAGGATGGAGTGAGTCTCTCCTTTCTGAATCAGGGACCTGTCAGCTGTCTTACCTTAGAGACGTTCGGGGGGGGGCCTGTGGCCTAAAGTGGCACGAGTGAACAGAGGGACAGCAGTAAAGGTAAAAGTCCGCATCACTGCATCCCAGCAGGAAGCAGTAATGTGATCAACAGAGGACAAGGACTTTGGTTTTGGGAGCATTTTGGGAAGACTTCCACATAATGCTTCTCCTAGTCTTTGTAGGTTTTTGTAGTTACAAGCCCACTTTTTATGGGCCTTTTCATAGATTTATAATGTTTTTTTTTAGTTAAATGCCAGATTATAACCAGTGAGTATGCACTAGATAGAGAGCAATTGGCATAGGAAGTAGAGCACAGCCAGTAATAAAAACGCAGAAATCAGATTGCCTACAGTTATAACAAGCCTTCATCCATCATTTGATACATAGGCTCACATCCAGAGAAGTTGATTTATTGTTAAAAAAAATAAAACTCTATATATATTATGTATAACTGTAGTTATATACTGTTTGTAAAACATCCATTTTGTAATGGAGCGCCAACTTATATATAATGTACATTTTGTATAAAAGAACAGGGAGGTGGGAACTGCAGCGATTCTCTTACGGAGGAATTTAGTAACTATATACTGTATCTATATTGTGGTTCAACTTTTGTGCTTCAAACGCCCTTTTGCTTATCAGATGCAAATCAGTGCCGTTCCAGTACTGCTTTTTATGAATTTTGTTAATCAAATATGACTTACCCGAGGGTAAAATGAAACAAATAAAAGTTGTCTTTATACTCCTTTACAGACATAGCCCACATTTTATGACAAATAGATATATATATTTTTCACAGAAGTAAATATTGTTATGTTCTCATTACAGTTTCTAAGACACTTTTTCATTGTTTTTTCACAGTTTTCCAAAATGGACTCTTTATAAGTCAGTTATCAATTTTATGCTATCAAAAAAACAATCTTGTTCTTTACAGATGCAGTTTGTAAATAAAGTGCCGCATGTATCAGATGTTTGCTCTGGTATGTTTTGTCTGAGGTGATTAACCTTTTCCAAATTATCCTATGTGATGTGACAGGTTTTGAAAATGCAGTTGCAACATAAAAGTCCTAGCTCGAGGGATTACCATGTTCGTTTGGTACATAAAATTTGCTCGATGTCCTTGGTGTTTTCACAGGCTATGTTGACAGCTGTCTTGGATGTTTGAGGGAGGGAGAGTGGGTGCAGTGTGAGATTGTCATCCATCATTCTTCTGTTATTGTGTCAGTGACATAGTGCCAAAAGCCTCAACAGTGAGTCCTGGCGTCCTAGGAAAATCCAATAAACACTGATCAGACACTCATATACTGACTAATACTAATTATAGCTTTGCTTTGCCAACTCAAAAAAACTGTGTCCACAGCTCAGAGGTCAGTCAGTGTTAAACGTCGCCTGCTTGTAGGACTGTGCAGTTAATATTGGCTCATATTCTTGGGTGGGGAGGATATGGTCGTGATGCTCGCCCACCATGCTCTCATGACCAAACTATTCACAGTGAATGGGTGGCTGACTTTGTGTCGTCTGAGAGGGTCTTGAGCTCGTTGAATAAAATATGATTGTCCAGCCAATCCAGCCACAATGCAAAATTACTGGCAACCCCCAAACAACAAAAGTGTCTCTGTGCTGCAGCAACAGTTCTGTAAGGAAAGCCACTGTCCTCTGTCCTTTGGAGTTGCGGAGGAAGGCCAGTCAGGCAAGCGTTTGAGATTCCAGTACGGGCACAACTGGTAGAGACAGATACTGAATGTCTGCTCTCCAGATGAAAAGCGTATGAATTTTAATGCACTGCATTGTTCCATATGTGGGAGACAGACTGAGAGGACCCTTGAGGCAGCGTGAGAATGTGAGACGGGTAGTGTTGGGTAAGACTGCAAAACACTCACTGCCTATTGGTTTTGGAAATGCCCTGTGGTGAAACTTAATGTACTGTGTAGTGATGGTGTCGTTTTAAAGCTGCTTTAACCAGTCACATACACACTCCTATTTAACTTCAATTTAGAGGAAACTGTTGTGCTTTTGCAGTCATTCAGCAGGTCTAGTTACTTGAACTTTACACATACACACACTGTATGATATGCTAAAACCAAGTACTTACTGGCATGTGATTCTGGTCAGAGCCTCTGGTCATGTTTTAAATGTCTACCAGTTCCACCATTTTCCCCTGTAAACTTCTCAGATGGTTTCATTTATGTAATTTTTTTAGGCCAAAACAGGTAAAACTGTCAATATACTGAATACAGATTTGTATCTGAGAAACATTTACATTTTGAGTTTTTCTGCCCTACCTTATTTTTCTCACAACTCTTAATGGATGGGGCCTGACCCCCAGTTTGGAGCCTATCCCAGCTGACATTGGTCGAGAGGCCGGGTACACCCTGGACAGTTCACCAGACTATCACAGGGCTGACACATAGAGACAGACAACCATTCACACTCGCATTAGCACCTACGGCCATTTTAGAGTCACCAATTAACCTAACTTGCATGTCTTTGGACTGTGGGAGGAAGCTGGAGTACCTGGACAAAACTCACACTGACAGACATGCTGGAGTAAATGCAAACTCTAAATTGGAGGGCTCCCCCACCCCAAGGTTTGAAACCCTCCACCCTAGGGTCCAATCAGGAACCTTCTTGCTGTGCTAACCTTTGCACCACCATGCCACCCAGTTTGCATACCAATGGAATAAACTCTACCTAAACCAGCTACAACAGTAAAATGTGACTTAGGCAGGACCTTAAAAATGCCCTAATTTTAATTTTAGAAATATTAGGCTTTAAAAGTCATTAAGGAGCCTTAAATTTGAATTTGTGAGGTCTCTATTGCCACAGACATTAAATCTAATTTAATTTATCCATCTTTTAATTTCTGTTTATCAAAATGAGCCAAGCTCTTCTGCATGATAGTCCACATTTCTGATGTTACAAATCTTCCATCCATCCATCCATCCATCTTTATGCGCTTATCCAGGACCGGGTTGCAGTGGCAGCAGGCCATGCAAAGCACCCCAGACGTCCTTCCCAGCTCCTCCTGGTGGACCCCAAGGTGTTCCCAGGCCAGATGAGATGTATAATCTCTCCAGTGTGTTCTGGGTCTGCCCCAGGGCCTTTTACCAGTGGTACATGCCCAGAGCACCTCTAACGGGAGGCGCCCAGGAGGCATCCTGATCAGATGCCTGAACCATTTCAACTGACTCCTTTCGACACAAAGGAGCAGCGGCTCTACTCCGAGCTCCCTCCAGATGTCCGAGCTCCTTAACCTATCTCTAAGGCTGAGCCCAGCCACCCCACAGAGGAAACTCATTTCAGTCGCTTGTATCTGCGATCTCATTCTTTCAGTCGCTACCCAGAGCTCATGACCATAGGTGAGGGTTGGGACGTAGATGGACCAGGAAATCGGAAGCTTTGCCTTCATGAGTGAGGGTAGACTGAGGAGGGTTTAAACTTACCACTAAACCTAATACTGCCTTTTCACTTAATAGTAGCATTTACATGTTGGCAAAATGTGGATTAACCTAACTTACTCTAATAATCACATTCCAACAACAACAAAAAGAACTAGCACTGCACAGGAGTACCGTTATGCTACGTACCTTCATACTTTACCTGCAATGCTTGAATAAGAAAAAGATGCCTTGAATTTGATTAAATATTTTTGATAAAACATTCAATTTAAGTGTTGAATACCTGCAGACCCTGTTACACTCGGATGCATCTGTGTTATTTTATGTCATATTTTGTATCAGTTACAGGGGGCAATTTACTGCAGAGTGAGAACTTGTAGCAAAGACGTGTTTTACTCAAGCAGGATTTTAATCCATAACTTTTACTTGTTAAGGATTAATATTACATTGTGGTGTTGGTATTTTTCCTTGATTAGGGGATCGGAGTACTTCCTTTATCGCTAACATCTGAGACATTTTTTCCACGTTATTCCCTAAACAGAAACTTGCATATCTTTTTAGTGGCACCAAAGTGCTTCGTCATCATCATACTGTAAGCAAACTATGACTTGACCAACAATCCATGACCGATAAGTCTGAAGGGGAAAGAAAGGGAAATATGCAGGGCTTTCCGGGCACATGGAGAGAAGCAGGAGAGTAAATATTACTTTGACCTTGTGGACTAGAATTTCTGATTCTATTAACCAGGGTGCTCTCTGTCTGCTCTCACTCTCTCATTCTCCGTCTCATTTTCTGTGTTGGTGTAAATCATGTTTCCTGCTGCAGCACTGAAGTCAGCTTCGTGGCAAGTTTACTAAATACCAGCACAACAGCAATGCATTCTTTTGAAGAGCTGTAAAACCAGTTAGGCCCTCGACCAAATCACTCCAGGTGAATGCACAGAGTTACCTTTCATTTAAGGTGTGGTTTTTCTTTTATTACCTTTGCTTGGACCCAATGGCTGTGTAAATACAAAATATCTCTACATCATTTACAGCAGCAGAAAATGTGAGTTTACACACATATACAGCACATTAAAACTTCAACAGAGTATCCTGCTGTGAATTCAGCGCTCAGAGACAGTCTGATGCAAGAAAGTGACAAGATTATGAGTCATACTTCACTGTGGCGACAATGTCAAGTGTTACTGTTGCAGGAGTAAAGAGTCGGGTTTACTTTTGTGACCTAATGCAAACGAGATAAGATTCAGATATGATGTCATGCCATTTTTATATCGGGGAAATAGGGTTTTACTGGAGCAGCTTTTAAAGCTGTTAAAGTTTTATAGCACTCATGATGGGATGTTGGTTTTGGAATAATAGTGCGTCATTAAATCATTTTCATTCCTGTATTTAGCCATCATGGTAATTGGGTCTGATTAATGATGATTGATCTTTTTAAGTCTGCTCTGCCTGTTCTTTCTTTCTTTCTTTCTTTCTTTCTTTTTACCTTATTAGACTGCACAAGGAGAGGGATGCAAAAAAAGGTCACCAGCCAGACTCAAACCAGCCGTATGATCAAACTTCCTAAACATTTGTATTTTCAAGTTAAAATACTTCCGCATAAACAGTGCAGACCAACTTCTTGTCGGCCCATGTGCAAATGCATGTGTTTGGGATGTACTGAGCATACAGCTGGATAAATGAGACTTGGATTATACTGCACGAGTTGTGGGAGAGTTTGTAAACGGAAGTTTTGATATAGCTTTGCTGTTGTAATAGGTCCAGTGTGTAGGATTTAGTGGCATCTAATGGTGAGGTTGCAGAACTAAACTTCTTCCATGTGCCATGCATGAAGGACAATTACAGTAGCCAACACGATAACAGGAATAACCCTGTCTAGAGCCAGTGTTTGATTTGTCTGCTCAGGGCAACTGTAGAAACAACATGGCGGACTCAGTGGAAGAGAACCTGCTCTCTACGGCTCCACCCTCTGAGCTTGCAGACCGAGCCCTTGCCGACTTCAGTTGTAGCCTACATAGTGTGACGTATTTACTGTCATCACATAAAGTCCGCGAGGGCAGAGACTGCAAGTGGACGATGGACAACCCTTGAGACTGTTTTACTCGTTGCCATGGAAACGTTTAGTTATCACTGCTGTCATATTCATATTCTGTCATATAAGTTGATGAACAGTGCCTACTCATCGGTTCCTGCAGATAATAAGATATAAATCCCTTGAAGAGCCTTTTTTTGTGACTGAACAAAAATGTATCAATACATCTCAATATAGCAGGCTACAGGGGTTCAAAAACAAATGTTTGTAATGTTTCTGTATCATGATGTGGTTGAATATTATTTCTGAACCACACAATTCAAGTAGCATTTTGATAGCCTATAACTATCAATAAAAATTTTACACGTTAACAAGTTTTTGTTTCAGCAGTTGAAAAAACCACAACGTCATGTCCGTATTGCAATGAACTGTGGGTCATTAAATCAGTGAAGTCTGCTTAAGTCTGCACCTCAAGCAGACTCTCTGGAAGTCTGCAGAAAGTCAGCTTGAGGCCCCATGTGGACTTGATAAATTGTGGATTGGACAGCCCTCAGCACTCCCAGACTTCCTGCAATGTTGGCGAGCCTGCAAATACGGTGAAGTGTGGACATTTGGATTCTGCCTATGTAGATATAAATGGATAATTCTAAGGTAATACAAACATGATTTTTGGGGTGTCGGTGGCTTGGTGGTGGAGTGGGCGCCCCATGTGCAGGGCTGTTGCCGCGGCGGCCAGGGTTCGGGTCCGGCCTGTGGCCCTTTGCTGCATGTCATCCCCTCTCTCTCTCCCCCTTTCACACTTAACTGTCATGTCCATTAAAGGCAAAAAATGCCCCCAAAAAATCTTTAAAAACATGATTCTTATTTTTAGGTGATTATAAACTAATGACATTTTATACACCATTTCTGCCAATAGATGGCCCTAAACCCTACACACTGGACCTTTTAACGTGGTCCCCCTTTACACCAGTTTATCAAGAATTTTCTCCAATGTTGGAATCTTTGTTTACGCTGGAGGCATGTGTTGGAGAAAACAAAGTTTTCCACGGGAATTCAATCTTCAGAGTCAGCAACTGATATACAAATTGTCATACTGGGGGTGAAGTATTCCTTTAACCCCTGAGCCATGTGGATGTCTCCATTTTATATTCTTAAAGGGGTACTCAAGCAATTTATTACTGCACTTGGTGGACACACAGGTGACAGATTGTTTATTTCATAGTGGAGCTCAAGCACCAAAAACACTGCAGCTCAACAGTAAGTGAGGGAGACAAAAAATGTCCCTCTGTGCTTTGTCTGGGAAGGCAAACTATTGACCTTCTGCTTACAGCTCTCCTCTTATCAAATGAGATCTCTTCCTTTTTTTTTTACTGCCTGTACATTCTCACTTGACCTGGTGTAAAACAACATTTCTTTATGTGAAAGAGGTGAAGACGACAGTAATCAAACCGGTTTGCACGCCTCACCCTGTTGCACCATACTTTTGTCTCATGATGACAGTCGCTGTCTTCCTTTCTGTCTCCCTTTCAGCGAGTGACCAACATTGGGTTTACAGTGTCAGCTTACTGCTTTTCCATTGTCAGATTACACCTCAGGAAAGAAAGCACCAGGTCAGAGGCTCACTTTGTGAAATCTGTCCCTACTACAGCTCCTGTGTGTTTACTCTGGGCTTTGTACATTTGTTTACGATGACGGTATTGAGGAATGACCTTCTGCCTGTATAGATGACCCCAGGTTGGATCACTTTGACACCCACAGCACCTGCAGTCACGTATTTAAAGACTGTGTCACTCCAGTGTAGTCTTGTTTTGGCTGAAGGACAGAGGAAACTGTTTTCCCCAAAACATTTCCATTCATATATTTTGTGTTTCCTTGTGTATCCTTTAAAAGTCAGTCATTCAAATTGCTTCTGGTGGCTGCTGTTTAATACTGTGGGTCTTTATCAGACCAGATTTACTTCAAGTGTTGGCTTTAAGGGTGTTACTGTGTGAGTGAAAGGTTATCTGACAACTTCCTGGATTTTTACCATTTCCTTTAAACTGAAAGATTTTGATTTGACAAGTAAGTAAAATTTAGGAGGAAATATATTATCAATTGCCTGTGGCTACTCAACATTGCTTTCTAATGACTAATGCTTCCATGTGATAAATGAAAATAATCTGTGCCACCTGTAAAGTTAAAACAATCCACAGAAGGAGCTTTGGTTACACCATGGTAGCACTGTAGTGTGCCTGACCATGACTTTTCCTTATTTACAGTTTCAGCTCAGGAAGAAATGCCCAAATGTAAACATGAGTGAGTTAATGTGCCTTTTGTCAGACCTCAGGGAAACACAGACAGGCTCATTATCACGTTAATAATACCCAGGGAGGGCGGTGATTGGCTCATGAATAATATATCTCAGTAGGAGGGGACGGTTTCGGGGTTGACTGGAGTTAGTTGCGTGCGTCACGTTGTGAATTGAAGACCAAGGACATGGTCTGAATGGCTTTTTGTACAGTCACTGGAGGAAGTTTTCATGCACCGAACACCAGGTAATGCAATTTTACTCACTTTAAAATGACCAGAGAAAGACTAGATGTTGTTTATTTACAGCAATGTTTTAGTTTGGCTTGTTCAGCTGTGTAACCTGCTGTGTGGGGTTGGGGTGTTTAAAGAAATTACATTTCCATGTGTCGCCGGCTGCTAATTCGGATTTATTAGAAACTAATGGTTTCGCAGTAGAAATGTAATGTGCCATATTTCAGTGATGTTTACGCGCACCGTGCGTCTGGGAATATTTGTGTTACTACTTCTAATAGGACTAGGGGCTTAATGCGCATCGAAATGTTTCTACTAAAGAGTGTTTGTTTTTCTAAAATATGGTTACAATATTTATATCACCATTGTTTGGGCTTTTTGTGACGTTTTTTAAAGTACATCTATTAGATAGGCTATTATTTAGGATACTGGGTTTATTAAAGTTTAATTGTTATTAAATACGTCTCTGATGAGTTTTTAAAGTCGAATAATAGCAGCATTGAAGATCTTTGACATTTGTCATCAGTCGACTCAGCAGTCTTCAGTGTTTGTGTTAAAAAACTGGTAAAACAGGGCAATTACGCATGTGTATAGGCCACCATAGGTTATCTATACCACACAGGATACGAGGGTTCAAATTCATACGGGCCAATGGTGGTTCAGCTTCTTCATATTGTGCCCCGAGGCTTCATCGGTTAATCTTGCTGGTCTCAGCATGTTGGAGGAATGAAGGTATCTGCCACAGACTGTTATCAACCTGCTGGTCTGATGGTGCCAAAGCGCATTTTCACCGCCTCAAATCATTAGTCCGGAGCTTGGTGCAGGGTCTGTCTGGCAACAGGGCTCGGAAATTAACTCCATGCGTTTGCTTTGCTGCGAGCGATAGTACAGCTCAGGTTATGAGCGTGTTCTCAAGAGGAAGATCCCCCTGTGTTGACTGCGCTGCTCCCTCTGCGGTTATTTACCTCCACTGATGTGTGCAAACACACGGCGCACTGTTGTCACAGGCTGAATTGCAGGTCAGTCCCCTCTTTTCATCATCCTGCAGTCAATCTGTGTGTTTTTTATAAAGAGGACCAAAGTCACAGGGAAGAAGTCTGGCGTCAGCTGTGTAAACTGGGCTCAAATCTCAGTCTGGCTCAAGCAACAAGAGGTGACAGGGCTCAGCCGGGTTCCCAGGATTGTTCTGACCCACACCTGACCCCCACTCCTTTTTTCCTTTTTAACAAGCATTAATGGATATTGATCAGATCCGGATTAATTGTGTGACTGTGTAATCCAGGGACCCCTGGTGGGAGTCTCCAGATGGTCCTGCTCTAACTCCTGTACAAGGATTTCAGTCTGATAATGCAGTTTGTTTCAATTAGCTGACCAAAAAAGTAGTTCAGTTTAGGACTAGATGTTACAATCCCTGATGCACATACTTGAGACTGTGAGTGGGGGTAGTAGTGCCGTTTGGTGGTCTGAATGGGAGCCAAAGGGTTAGATGGATAGAAAAGTAGAGCCAAGCCAATTCCTGCAGGATATTTGCATAATATGGTCACACTTAAAGATTCTTTTCTCAATCTTTACAATGCAAGAAACATTTGAATTCTTTGCATCATCAGCCTGTTGTAGTTCTTATAACTCCTATTATGCATACAAGCTGTTGAAAGGTGCTCTTCCTCAAACAGCTGCTGCAGCCCCAGTTGTTCTTCCCTGATATGCAAATCCCCAGTTCAGGACAGTTTCTTCTCCCCCAGAGGTAGACGCAGTTTGATGTAGATGTATCCCATTAATCAGCAGATCACAGTGATATCTCCCGCTCACCTTCCTCGGCTCTGTATGAGTTGTTGTACTTTCAAAAGGAGTGGGCTGAACATCTGTGTGCTGCTGCACCGTTCCCGAGTGTTTTTGTCTTCAACTTTTACAGATGGGTCAGTAATAGTATTTGTCATGTTGCGTTATCATAACATGGAGCCTGGTCTGCTGCCGACAACGCCTGATTTATGTTCCCAGGCCTCGGCGAGCCTCTCAGATCCTCCCCTAACATTTGCTCAACGAGCCTTAAATGTTTCCTGTTGTGAGATGAAAGCCGCACTACCCACTAACGACCCACTAAGGCCAGCTCTGTTTTCTGTCATTGGTCTGGTTTGCGGTGGATGACAAAAGTCATTTTCCCTCAACAAAGAACCACTAAACACAGATGAGCAATGTTGAGATACTGCATGATGGAGCCTTGTCAGTGTTTGATTGCATGAATCACAGAGTGATTTGTGCTGGTGGCAATGCACTCCGTCCAGTGGAAAATACAACATGAACACATGAGGATATCTCTTATGATAGAAGGCTGTCAATATGAACATTGTCTGTGTTTCCTTGTGGGTGTGTGATTGAGTGTAACGTGAGTAGACAGATAGCATTGGGTGTCTGATATGGTAAGAAAATCAGGCACAGATAATGTTGTTTTCCTCAATCTCTTTAACCCATACTGGCTGACTGCAGCCTTTGAATCTGAGGTGTTAAACATCTGTTAAGTGAATTAGAACAAAGCTTTGGAGCATTAGCGTGAGATGCACCCCTGTGAGAGGATCCTGGACCCTTGAGCTGTTACACCCACATACAGTAACATGAAAACTGATTCTGTGACATTACACAGAGGAGAGGGAGTGTGTTTTTGGTAAAGACACAAAGCACCATTTCCTGTATTTTGTGAGAAAGTGCTCAGACAATAGACAAAGCTGAGAATGTCGACTGTGGAAACAACTGAATCATCCAAAATACTTGTGTTAAGGAAAGTTGAGCAAGAAATGTAGAGGTTTTACAGTGTCTGTGTGTATTAAAGTTTATTTTCTTAATTATGCAGTTGATTATTTATCCCAATAATTTGGTTAATTTCATGTGATTGACGGTCCAAAACCCAAAGATAGTAAATTTACCATGATAAAATCAACAGTAAAATAGCAAATTCTCACATCTGAGAAGCTTCCAACTAGCTCAATGGAAATTGTTGATAAATTTCCTATCAGTTTCCTATTTGATTGCTCAACTTATTCTTAATCCTTTTTCCTTTGCCTCTGATTGTCTTTCCCACCATCCGTCCGATGCCTCCCTCCATCAGCACCAGGCATGGCTGGGAAACCTTTCCGTGCCACCTACATCTGGAGCAGCATCATCTCCAATCTCCACACTCATGTAGAGGTTAAGCGCCGGCGCCACAACCTCAAGTCCTACCATGACTGTTTCCTGGGCTCAGAGGCCGTGGACGTGGTGCTGGCACACATCACCCTGAACCGTTTCTTCGGTGATGAGGCGGTGCCCCGCTACAAGGCTGTGCGTCTCTGCCAGGCCCTGATGGACTCGAGGGTGTTTGAGCCGGTGGGCGTTAAAGTATTTGGGAAGGAAAAGAAGCGAGCCACATTCGAGGACAGTAGCTGCAGTTTGTACAGGTTCCTGAGCGCGACGACTGGCTCCTCATCACCGCTGACCAACGCCAAGTCTCACTCCACTACCACCATCGAGAGCGGCTATGACTCACCAAGCATGAGCAGGAACAAGAATGGATACAGTCCATCACGTGAAAGGTACAGACTAAAGTCATAACATCTCCAGGTCTAATTTTTGATTTGCTTTGTTCTCCTCCCTCCAGAGCTAATCCCCAATCTAGTATAGCTTTAGACTGGGTGCCTCTGAAAACCAGTGAGGCATGACCACAGGCTCTTGAAGTCCCATCATGCAGTCATGTCTTGATACTGTTAAATTCCAGTAACCCCCTTAATTACCAGTGTGTGGCCATCAAGAGAACCAGATACAGCATCGGAGGCGGGGCCCTTTCAATCTTATGAAAGTTGCTCAGTTGTGCATGAAGACAAAAAAGTTAAACTTTCTGGGTATGAAATTATTGGATCTGGACCCATAGAGTAGGCATGCTACAGACACTCAGGAGGTGAGCGTCTAACTTCCAGTTTAACCCTCTGCAAACTTGAATGTGAATAAAAATGTTTAAGGTTCTTCTGGACTTTCCAAATGTTACTGGAGCAAATGGATCAAATCCTGATAGTGAAATAAGTCATTTTGCTGGGGTTAAAAATGTATCCACTGATTTAAAGACGTCTTTTTCACAATGTAAGTCAATGGGAAAACGTCTTTTTGGCCACATGGCATCAAGTGACAGACCTTAATGTTGTCTTTCCATGGTTTGGCCACCACAAAACATGGCTTTAAAGCCCAGCACAGTTCCTTCTAGTGTGCAGGATTTAGTGGCATCTAGCGGTGAGGTTAAAGAATTGAAACTTCTCCCACGTGCCAAGCATGTAGGAGAATTATGATGGTGTGTTTGACTTGTCTGTCCTATAGGCTACTGTAGAAAGAACATGGCAGACTCCATAGGATAGGACCCGCTCCCTGTGTAAATATTAATGGCTCATTCTAATGTAACAAAAACACAATGATTCCTATTTTCAGGTGATTATAAACTAATGAAAACGTATAAATGTTATATACCACTTGTGCCAAGAGATGTCCCTCAATCCCACACACTGGACCTTTAAATTGCAAAATCATAAAGTAGTTTTAAAATTGAAATAGACTGGAAATATGGGGGAATGACTGCAACAGAGGTTAAAAGATATCTTCTTACTAACACCTCTAAAGCTACTAATTAACATGTTATATCTTATTTGTATATGATACTAAAACATTATGTGCTGGAGTACCACTTCTTGGCTGGCAGCATGCAGAGAGTGATGAAAAGACTCCAGGGAGGTTTACTTAGCAAAGCCAGGAAATAGTCTGGCACATAACCTACATCCTAGATCCTAAATCTACAGTGTGTCTTCGACTTAAAATAGAGATATAACAAATCAATTAGTGAGCTTTAGAGGTGGCAGTGAACAGATTTTGTTACAGAGCAATGCTACCTTTTCCCCCCTGTTTCTAGTCTTTGTGCTAAGCTAACTGACTGGCTGTAGCTTCATATTAACCTTACAGAGATGACAACAGAAACTCTCTAAGCAAGAATGTGAACAAGTATTTCCAAATATGTCAGCCTACTCCCTTAAACTCTGTTGATTCTTCTGTACTTTGAGGCAGCATAGTTAAATTCTGGGGAGGCTGTCGAGCATGAAGCAAAGACAGACAGGATGCATTACCCGTGAGGTGCTAACACATGGCCTCAGCACTTTGTGCTGTTGTGAGAGTGACAGCTCCGGACTGGACCTGAGAGCAGGCCTCGCTAATGAGAGATGAAAGATTCAGAGGAGCCATGTGCTGTTACGGTTTAAATAAGGCTTATGTAATTTGCAACGTGGGCCCAATTTAAGTCTTCTTTCGAATAACGTAGATAAAGAGAAAAGGCTTCACATGTCCTATTTAATGTTCATCATAAACTGTTCGATGCTGGAAATTGAGCATTTACTTTGCCTGTTGGATATGAAATGACCAGAGTCACAACAGCACTAAATTGTCACTGAATCACAGCTACTAGAAAACATTGCAGCCTGATGCTGAATTTGTTCTTGTAATAAGTATGTATTTTTTCTCCAATCATTTCCGCTGATTGCTGTTATTATGTGACTCTTCAGACAAGGGGTGCTGAGCTACTCCACCCACTCCCCTGCAAAAACAGACAAAGCACTGGAGGACGTGCTGGGAAACCTCAACCTGAGCTCCACTATCACCCCTCAGATGATCAATCTCGGTCTCTCACAAGAGCGTAAGTGGTCTTCTGTCTGAAGAGAATGACGTAAATCGGCACTGTGTTTTCACTCACAGTATGTGTCTTACGTGTCTGTGTAGCCATCACCCTCATGGCTTTTAACTGTGTTTTCACAGTTGTGGATGAGGTGTGGCACCAACAGGCGGTGTTTAGGCTGCTGCAGCTGGTAGAGCTCCCCCTGTTGGAGAAGCTGCTAGAGGGAAAAGACTCATCGAGGCCTCCCCTGAATGGCATGGACAGTGACTCGGACCTGTTATATACATCAAGCTACCTAGACCGAGAGGTCCTCAAGGCCTTCAGTGAAGCACAGTAAGTCCTCTCATAAAATCACATGAAGGATATGTATGTAAGGACTTTGTGTTTCTGTTTGTGTTTTGCCCTGCCCTTTAACTCATATGAAAATATGAACCTTTTAAGCACTGATGTGCTGATTTGAATGTAAAATGATGATTAGGTGTCGAGGATAAAAAACCATTTAAATGTTGGCTAGTCACAGAAGTGATGGTAAAACAAACATTGCATACAGTGGTGGTAAATAAATGAGAACATGACATGTACTCAAATACTGTATTTAAATACAATTTGAGGCACCTGTACTTTACCTGAGAATTTCCCTTTAATGATACTTTGTACTTACCTATCTTCCTCTGCTTTTCAAAGGGGCTTATTGTACTTTTTTTTACTGCAATTCATTTATGTAAAAGCTATAGTTGCTACTTACAGTGTAGATAAAGATTTTGAATACAAAACGCGTGATCAGTTTATAAAATATGATTGCAATTTTACATTATAGAGTAAACCAGGGATGCTCAGCTTGCTTTGCAAGGAGGCCACTTTTGCAAAATGACAGTAGGCCAGGGGCCAGTTAATTAACAAGCATTGATAATATTTATTTAAATAAAATTAATAAACGAGACAAATCCCTCGCAGCAGTCCTGCACAGGTCAGGTAGATGCAGAGGTGCATCTAGGATTTGAGGACATTTGGGGCTTAGCCTGGTCCTCTGTTGAAGGTTCTGAGGGATCCCCCCTTGCACCTTTATTTTTAATAAACAAGCAATTTTAATGTTTTTTTTAATCTACTCTGGCAACCTATTTACATTTTAAGTACAAGAAAATCCCAGTGTAAATCAGTTTATTTTAATTGTGAATTAGAAAATGGTCAGTGGGCCACTCGGCACCCTCAGGGCCAGATTTGGCCTGCAGTCTGTAAGTTGAGTATCACTGTGCTTAACTATGAGGCAATTAAAATCTGCTTGTTATATTAAACAAACTGGAGCTTACATGTTAATGAACGAATAATATAATTATAATATGAGACTAACAGGGGCCATTCTGCGTAACTGGTACTTTTACTTTTGATACCTTTTATTGGTAATACTATTATTGTATTAGTGTTTTTATAGTGTGGTGTTGTTACTGCTTCTTGTGTAAATAATCATGATGAAATGTTTTTTTACCCCTGGTGATCAAAAAAAAGTAATCTGATTTTAACCTTCATGTGTTTTCACCTGTAAACGACCAAATCCATGCTTACTGGAAGCAGTCGAGTTTTCTCTAAATCACTGAAAGCCAAGAGCTTATCTGGACCTTCTTTTTGTCTGTCGGCTGTGTTTACAATCATTACACTTTCCTCTCCACTCAGGGCTGATGAGTGGATGTCGGGGGCAGTCGACTGTCTAGAGTTTCTGCCTGACGAACTGGTGGTGGAGGTGAGTCGAGGTTTGGCCAGCTGTGTTGACGACTTGCTCAGGTGTAAGAGTCTGCTCTATGAGGTCCTGGCTCAGCATTACGGACACATACAACAGCCACCTCTGCTCAGCAACCACGTTTTTGACATCCACTCTGGCATCTCGGAGCTACTAGGTAAGAACTACTATACTTTGGCGTCCTGTTGTTTTCAGGAGGGTTGATGAGGCTTTAATAGTGATGCATTAAGGCAGGTTTCATATATTTCGCAGCCCATGCCAGGTTAATCACAGGGGTTGCTTTTCTCAAAGCTCAGCATTTTCATCCCTGTATTTTCTCTGGTCTTTTGTCAGTGAACGGCAAACAAGAGCAAGCTCTAGAGGCTCTGCAGCTGAGCCTAAAGCTGCAGGACTCCCGCAGCAGGGAGGAACTACGCAGGCTCCTGAGATTCATGGCTGTCGCAGCCAAACCACAGGAGGTCAGACTGCACAAAGAGGTGAGCACTCATCTGCCTCTCCTGTGAGTCAGCGCAAGTGTGTGTTTGATCTTTGTTAAGTTGAAATATTTTTCTGTCAGGTTGAGAACAGAATGGCGGTGAAAAGGTCTTTCTCAAGTGCTATCGTCTTCAGCAGAAGACTCTCCAAAGGAAAGGTGGACCTAATGGTTCTGTTCATGATGGATAACCACCGTGATCTGTTCAAAGTGAGTGTTCCTAATTCATCTCTTTGTGTGTGTGTGACGTGTGTGTCCGGCGTTGTGGGAGGGACGTAACAATCCACATCTCTGTGAGAGAACTTAGTCATTGGGTTGATAAAATGCTGCTGTACACAGGCTGTTTAGAAAGTTCTCAACCCTTACATCAGATATTACTTGAAAGAGAATACATTCAACAACCACAGACTAAGTAAACATAATAATTCTACTTGTTATAATGTATTCATATTAAAATTGGATCTTTAAGTCAAGATAAATAGAAACTTACGTCTTATTTTGCTCTCTTTGCACCAGATTCCTGTTTCATTGCACAAGATGGTCAGTGACAGAATAATGAATATTGTGACGGGGAAGGATCCAGATGTGATCACAGGTTTGTGGATTTTCCTTGTACATATTCACCAATCAGCCGCAATATTCAAACCACTGGCAGGTGAAGTGAATAACCTTGATCATCTCTTTACAATCTAATGGTATGCTGGGAAACCTTGGGTCCTGCCACCCAAACACTGTTACAGACCAAATCCCTCTCTCATGGCAACAACACTCCCCAATGGCAGTACCTCCCCGTAGAAGGACAATGGGCCATGCCACATCGCAAGAGCTCATGGCAGCAACCTGGCCTCCAAATCCCCAGATCTCAATCTGATCAAGTATGTGTGAGACATGCCAATACCCAACCTCACAACCCACAGGACTCAAAGGATCTGCCTCCAAAGCCCTGGTGCCAGACACTGTAGGACAGCCCCAGAGGTCCTGTGTCCATGCCACGTCAAGCGCCACACCACAGATCGAACTTGGCTCTGACCTGTTGAGGCATGGACACAGGACCTCTGGGGGTGTCCTGTATTGTCTGGCACCAGGGCACTGGAGGCAGAGCCTTCAAGTCCTGTGGGTTGTAAGGTGGGGTACTGGCGCATCTCACAGATACTTGATCAGATTGAGATCCTGTGTCCATGCCTCGACAGGTCAAAGCCATGTCAGATCCGTGGTGTGGCTGTTGACCTGTTGAGGCACAGACAGAGGACCTCAGGGGTACCGGCACGAACCATGGATGCTTGATCGGAATGGGATCTGGGGAATTTGGACACCAGGGTGATGCCTTGAGCCCTTCGTAACGGTCTTTGGGCCATTCCTAAACAGCTTTTGTGGTGTGGCATGACACATTGTCCTGGGAACTGGGGACAAACTTGGTCTGTAACAGTGTTTGGTGGGGGACATGATCAATGATATTCACATCACCTGTCAGTGGTTCTAATGTTCGGTGTTGATCTTACACAATCTGTTGCTTTGAAATGCCTTGTTATAAGTGGAGACAAACTCTTCCTTGATTTAATTTGAGTTTGTCCAATCTCTCCTTACTGCAGGATCAACATACTGCACAAGAGTGAGCACCAAGGCCTACTCAGAAACTGCACAAAAAACCACTAAAGAAGAACTCTGGACGTTACTCCGGACAGTACACGAGAACCCTAAACTCTCGGCCAAAGAAAAAAGACGGCTGCTTGGACAGTTTTATAAAGGCCACCCAGAGATTTTTGTTCAGTACTTTGGAAATAGACTGTCGACTGTCAACATGTTGCTACAGTGATATTTATTACTTCATGTATTATAATGTAAAAAGAGGTAGATGTAGGAAAGAACAAAAGCTAATGTGATGTTAAGATGTGAAGAAGTGCAGTGTAGCATGTGGATTTTATTCGCTTGTATGTAAATAATTAAGACTACTGAACAAGAATGTGAATTTCAATTGTGAGACTCGTGATAAGCTGCGATATTTAAGGACATATTTCATTTCATTTCAGATATTTTATTTGGTGCAGGACACTAACATGAAATGTCCTTGTCAGTTGTATATGAGACTGTTACTTTTCCAGAATGACAAATGAACCAAGTGTTCTGTTGAGGTTTTTTTTTTTTTTTTTTTTTTTAAAATGTTTTCACACTGCAATGCGTCTTGACGGAATTCAGACAAGTCTGCATAAATCATTTTTCAATGGATGTATTCTTTGTGCTTGTGCAATAGGAACAGTGTTAGCAATAAAAATGTGTCTGTTCATGTGGTTTCTCATATACACTGTGATGCACAGTGGAGCTATGTCTCGAGGAACGGAAATTTGAACCTGGACATTTGAAAGTCTGATGTTGTGCTGTAGTGAACAGTCGGAGGCATTCATGAGAATCAGCCCTCTGGGTTGTCATGTTTGTTGCACCATATAAGAAAACAGATGTTTGTAAGGTTTTTTTTTTTACTCAAACTTAAAAAAAGCCACGTTTTAGTGGTGTCTTCAGGGTTCTGTTTTAAATAAGTTTTACGCACTCCCTCTAATCGGCTGAGGAAATAATTTCCACATTTCCAGGTAACAAAAACATCCCCAGACTAAGTTTAAACCACTCACATGTTGATTGTATTTTGGCAAAGCTTAATAAAATTCAACAGGACTTGTCTAACATTCATACGTGTACATTTCCCCTTTTTAATCGCAGACACAAAGTGTGTGTATTCTGATGAAAAGAGAACAAATGTAACTTATCCATACAACCATGGGTGGCTCATGGGACAATGGCCCCTGGGCACAGATATGCAAAAGGACCCACTACCCCTCCTACACAACAGTGAGACACACAGACTTTGTGGTGGTTTGCCTTTTTTTTCTTGTTGTTTGTCTCTTTTTGTAGTCATTGTGTTTCTTTGAGGTCATTGTCTTGTCTGTTTTGATTGATTTGTCTCTCTCTGTAGTCATTTTGTGTCTCTTTGGGGTTGTTGTGCTCCTTTTTGTAGTTATTATGTGTCTCTTCACAGTGCCTTTGCATCTTTTGTGGCCTCTTTGTGTCTCATTTTGAGTCCCTCTCTGGTCGTTACAAGTTAATTTGAGTAACATTTTGCAGGTGGAAGCCAGGGGGGGGCCTGACACTTTGGGCCCCTGGGCCTGTTCATCCATCCATGCATTCAACACAAATAATACTGACTTTCTAGGTACAGTTTGCAGTCCATTCTTACCGGACTCCCACACAGGCTTTGTACATGGCCCCCTTTTAGACCCGCTCATTTTTATTACAGAGGCAGAACTGTGAAATCTAAGGCTGTTTTATGCTTATTCATACACTCTGTAAACAATTTTTAAAAAGCAGGTTAGAAGTACTGTGATGTTGCATCCACTTTTTATATAAGGCCAGTACTGTTTCAATTATTATGTTATTGTTTCCCGCCAAAACACTTTGATCAACATCTCATGGGTCCAGTTTAAAATGCAAAATGGTGGAGCATCAATTCAAATCAGAAACTGAGTGGTGCTTTCCCTTCCAAGATCCTTTGTTTAGTTTTGTTTTGGTGGCTGACATTAGATATGTCTTTGATGCTCGACACCAAAATCACCGAACCCTTAATGTGTTTTAACTGATGTCTAGCTGTAATCAGTGACATGAAATTCTGAACTAACCTGACAATGAGAACCAACAGGAAGTTACTTTGCTTGATGGGTACTCTTGGTGGCACTATTAGTAAAACAATTATTATCCATCATTCAAACGCTGATAAAAACATCCACAGAGAAGACTTTTCTCTGTATTATAGTGGTTGTTGGAGTTTCTGAGAGCAATTCAGTTCTCCAAACGGTGCACATTTCAAAGTGGCCTTCTGGCTTTATTATGTGGCAGCAGAGTGGTGTTCTGCATAAACTGTGTTATGCCACAGGGTTACCTGTGAATAGGCTCAGAGTGTAGATAGGCCGCCATACACTCAGAACAAAGGCTGTGCTGGGCAGACAAACAGTGATGTAAGAACACCAGTGTGAAAACAAGCAGCTGTCTGGAACTGAAAATGTTTCCTGTGTAAGTTTTTTTTCAGTCAAGTAGAGTTGATCACAACTAAGGAATTGTCTGGACACGACATCTAACATTTTAATGTATTAAAGTGAAAAGACGTTATGTTGCTAGGATAAAATTAAGCCTATGAAATCCTGCTGTAAGAGGGAATCTAGTAATTTGCAGATATGATGCTGCCCCCTAGTGGCATTCATAAATCCTGGCCTGGCTGTGCTAAAAGAGGACTCAAAGGGCAGCAATGACGCATTATACATCATTAAATCAAATATAAGAGCAGATCTGGTTGAATTCTTTTCAGTTTTTATTGAAAGGAACTGTGTTTCCTCCAGTTATCTAAAAAAAAAAGGTTGTTTCCACTTTGCCATCACTGGAACATCACAAGGCCAAAACTGAACTGTGTGCCAAAATCAAAGGGTGAATTAAAAATTTTGTACAATATAATGAACAGTCTTTAAAAATAAAAACTGTTAACAAAAAAGCCACAAGAACACTCAGTTGTGTGTGTGTGTGTGTGTGTGTGTGTGTGTGTGTGTGTGTGTGTGTGTGTGCACGCGCGTATGCTTGTCTTCTGTACAGAGATAAATGGATGTATAATCTGACACACTCAGAAATGTGGACATGTACATTTACCCCATGTGACCACCTGTTAAAATTACATTCTCGTTGGGTTCAGAGTGTGTTTCGGTTGGTTTATCGAATCCTCTTCTGTTGGCGTGCGCGGTAGATGTCATGTATGGGTGGAGCCACGGCTCCTTTGTCATCCTCCTCGTCAGAGTCTGCGTTAGGCCTCTTGAGTGACTTGGCGACGGCATGGTTCTCCATGGATCCATTGCCCTCCCCTCCTGCATCGGGCTGTTTACCAGTGATCAGCTCTACAGCAGCATCAACAGCTATGGAAACAGAAATAAACATCAGTAACATGTCAGATAGGGAGCAGGACAACATCTTGACACACTTCATTAAGCAGTTGTCAAGATATTTCACTCTGGATCCAAGTGTTGGTTTGATCACTGGATGACCTACCAACCATCTGACTCACATTTCCATCACCAGAGCCACGTTGCTCGTGCGACTAAAATTAGAAATGGTCTGGATTCATCCAAAGTGCTGACAAAAGCAACTTACTCTCAGGAAGTGTGCATCTCCTGAATGTTTCCATGAGCTCTTCCACTTGAACAAAGGGACCCTGCAGCAAAGAACAATCAACTTAATGCATCAAGTAGATAAAAAAGCTCCTTTCGTCTTTTATTGCATTACCAGTAAGCATGAGCTTGATAGTATTAAGCTGCTGCTGGTACTCACAGTGAAGCACGTAGGCGGGGGGAGCAGCTTCATTAGTACAACAGCAGCTGGGGGGACTGGGAAAACTCCACCAGGAACAGGGTGTAGACCTGGAGCTGTGGGGAGGAACATGAGAGACAACATCAAAGATGGATCCTATGATGTGTTTAGGAAATGTAGGAGAGACAGAGGGGCAGACGCACAGCAACAACATAATTCTCACACACATACTGTGCAGGACTTACCTAAAAAACAATGAATAGCCTCACAAAATCCTAAATCACCACTTAGTAACCAAACATAGTTTCACTGATTAATGAAACACATTCAGTAGAGTTAAGAGAAGACCTCAGACAGTTGAGGGCTACGTACGGGCAAGGTGACGTGGCTGGAAGGGGATCATCTGATTGGTGTCAGGCTTTGGGTACTCAGGTTTGCGGTCTGCTTCATCCTTTAGTGTAGGCGCAGAGGGCGTCACCACGGTCTCTGGGAGCAGTGATGCCAGTTTGGCACGAGACACATCCTACAAACACATAGTGGAAACAGTTTAAATATCAGTTGAGAGAAAAGTCTGATCTGTGTAACTGCTTTTGCAGCAAGAGATGGGGCAGAATACACACCTTGTATCCAAGGGCCTTGAGTTCACTAGCAGAGCAGGGATACAGGTCCATGAACTTGTATCTATCTACAAGCAAGGCTGTTTCTTTGCCCTCGTACTCGTCCTTGAAAGCACTGAATCGCCTGCGCTCCACTTTCAGGATACTGGCCAGGTCTCCTATGTTGCTCTCGAAGGCCAGGAACCGAGCCCAGATCTCGCTGAAGGGTGAAAGGAAAAACACAAATCAACAAACGTCGTCAGAGATTTTGATTATTTTACCACTAACACACCTGCACCCAACTTCAATCAATTCTTACCCTGACTTTTCTGGTGACAAGCTCCCTGAGGTGAGGACACGTTCAAACAGAACTCTGGTGTTGTTATCCTCTGGAGGGAGAGAGGGCACACACAGACAGGAAAAAACAGGGTTAAGTATTTATCTTCCATTACTATGAGTGAAGCAACTTTTTTTAAGACAATGGATTTGTAGTAAAGAAAAGATTTCTTACACCGTCTTTATACACATGACCTACCATTAAGGTGTGAGAGGTAATCAATGTACGCCAGTATGTACTCTGGAATGTCACCGTACTTCTTCAAACCAAGCTCAAAAATCTTGAAGGCCACCGATTTATCCTGTGGAGAAAGATTTAAAAAAACAAAAAATAAAAAATACACATTTAAGATGACTTTAGTCACACTGTACATATACTAAAGATATGATGGGCTGAATGAGGCATCAGACTCGAGTCCATTTCTGTAGCTTGTATTTGTATGTTTAACCTACATGGTTTCTCTCTGCCTACTGGTGACCTCGTATTGGTACAGCTGAGCCACTAAAACCCCTCCTGGCACAACCCCTTTCCTTCTCTTACCTTGTAAAGACAGATATCTTTTGTCTACCATTCTTTTATATCTTTTCTAAGAGAATATTTTCATGTTTTTTGTACTTGATATTAATGGTATCTTAATGGAAATGTATGTAATCTGGATCTACTTATCGTCTGTTGTACTCTTAACATTGCTTGTATCTCAATATTGTATAAAAAGTAACATTTATTTTAATTTTGCACAGTAGAATTATAGTTGTCATTGCCATTATTGTTCATCTTTTGTAGCACACCAGTTGGATTCTATCCCATTTAGCACATGATTATTTAGAAGGCACACCTGATGGCAATTTAGCACAGAGGGAATCTGATGGAGCAACATGTGAGAAGTGTTGTTTGCTCCTTTTTATATGTAAGCTGTTGATAAAATAAGTGTCAACCCAAGTATCCTGGTGTGAGCTGGAACTGTGGTTTATTCAGCACCAGCTGGCACCCAGGGGAGAGGCACCACTGTGCTATGTGATTGTGTGCACTTGCCTTGCTGCAGTAGTACTCCATCAGTGCTGCTGTCACGTACACATGGTGACGCGTGCGAGCATCTTCCCTGGCCTTTTTGAAGATGGTGCGACCTGACTTGATGCCCTCTGCCCTCCTGGCAAACTTCATGTACTGAATGTAGACCAGCGTGGGGTCAATGTCCTCGATGGCCAGCAGCTTGTTATAGATGCTGTGGACCTTCTCGTACTTCATGCGACTCTGCGAGGGAAGCAAAAATGTACATGCTGATGAGTCCGCACATTTCTTACTGTGCTGATTACGGCTTGTGCTGAGTACGCAACAGGACGCTCACTTCTTCATAGTCGGCGAAGGAAAAGTAGAGCAGCATGTTCTTCTTCAGGAGAGTCCCGATGGCACGTTCGT